GGCATTGCTCCACTCCGGGGTGCGGATCCCGAGGGGTTTCTTTGGCATTGTGAAGCTTTTTTTGGTGGTGATATTTTTCCGGCGAACTTTTCCGGCGGTGCTCCGGTGAGCTTCCGGTGGCGTGGTCCTCTCGACGGCGATAGGGCGGCGGCGTGGCTGGGTTCTAGCGACGGCTCGGCGAGGTGGCGGAGGCTTTTGGACGGGCTGGGCAGTGGTGGTGCGTGCGGCAACGGGGTGGGTTCAGGTGGGCGACGGGCGGCGGTGTGTCGCGGGTCGTTTCCGGGCGGTGGGATGTCACCTGGGTCGGCGGTGGCTCGGCCGGTGATGTCATCCGGCGGGGTGGTTGCTGGGGGTGGTGCTTGGCCGGCGGGAAGGTGAGAGGGAGAGGAGGAGTGAGGGAGAGGGGGTGGGGAAGAAGAAGAAGGGTTTTTGATTTAGGGGTTTTTGGGTTTTTAGGGGTTTGAGGGGGTTTAAGAAAGAGGTGTTCCCTTAAGGTTTCAAGAAATGCTCATGGCTTAGTGGTTAGGAGCTTGGACTTGTAAGTGTGAGGTCTAGAGTTCAATTCCCATTGGTGACATTAGTCTTTCTTTGTTGTGTAGTTCTCGTCTTTTCCCTCTTTTTGGTTTTTCTTTTCTTGTGGTGGGGGGAATTTGATTGGTCCCTTTTGTTTTGTTGTTTGTTTAGCTTCCTTTGTGCTAGGCTATTTTTTGTTTTTTTTTTTGAATTTTATTAGAAGGGAAAGATTCGGAGGTGGCTAAACTAAACAAGTAGTGGCTACAAGGGTGGTTACAAGGGGTTCCTTAGTCTATCCTAGACAGAATTCTTCCTCTTGGCTTTCTCCTTGTGGGTTTGCGTGTTCTTCGTCTTCCGGGGTCATGTTTTCGTCGTTGGGGTTGTCCTCGTCTCCTAGCTCGGCTTGCGTGCGGCTCATGATGAATACCTTTCCGGGAACACCATGATTCCCTTGGCTATGGGTGCCTCTGTTTTGCCCCATATTCGTGGGGTGTGAGTCAGGGGATCGTATGTGGCGGGTTCTGGAGTTCCTGATTGTCTTCTGCTTGGTTCCATGTTGCTAATCTATAGAATTTAATGTTTACACTGATTTAGAGGGTCGTTCCCTTACTTGGGTGTGATAAGCGAAGAGGAGTTCTTTTTAAGTTAACGAGTGATGGGGTGGTGGGTTGTTATGTGATGGTGACGGATAGTCTCACAATTTCACCGCGTGTCCTAAGATTCCTGGATCTTATGTTCCTAGAGTTCAAGCCTAATGTCCTAAAGTCTGTTCTTAAGAGTCCTGTCCTAGAGTCAAACTTAGGCTCTGATACCAACTGTAACACCCCGAAATTTTTCAGCTTTTAAGACTTGTATAATAAAGGTAAATCCTCATTAAATCTCAAAACATAACATAAGAGTACGGGGTGCTATGCCACACCTAAGCTAGAGAACTTAGGTGCACAGGCTAACTAACTAAGATCCTCATTTTCAAAAAAAAAAAAACTAAGATCCTCAATAATGTCAATACATAAGCATGACACGCAGGCCGAAAGGGAACTATCTACTCTATGCTTCAAATCTCTAGCGCGCTCCAGGGTCTACTCATCTGTGCCTGAAAGCCAAATATATCTGTTCAGCGAGAGATGCTGCTAACCCACTCCAACGCGTTGAAATACATTACATATAAATATATATAGATATAGGAAAACCATTTTGAAGCATGAAGATATATCCTAGGAACTCTAGCTTTAAAACCGCGAATAGACTCGACAGATAGGGATAAGCACATCAAATACAACAAGTAGTTTAAATAGAGGTAACATCATAAGGAAAACACAACTCAGGTCACTTCTCAATTCCAAACACATCAATCATCACGCATCATTACTGAATCATCATCAAGTCACATCATTCATACCACAACATCACATATCACATCATCATTGATGGCGCCACGGGACCAATCGCATGCCCCGAACATGAGGGTCAATGCATATAGCATTAAAACGGCCCCTCAGCACTCTACCTCAATACCGCGGTGTGAGGGGAGTTGATCGCAACCAACCCTTTTAGAACCGTTGACGAACTCAACGTCGGATCATGATCCTACACACCGCTGACGCACCCAGTCGGTGGACCACGATCCCCTTTACTAGGGGGGACATACGACCCTACACACCGCCAATGGGTACGCTGGTGGACCATAGCGGATCCAGCCCGACACACCGCAGAGCTATACTCAGTCGGTGGGCGAAGATCCTCGGAGACTATGGCCCTACACACCGTCGTCCCAAAATCCGGTGGGTCACAGCCAGCCGTAGCCCTACACACCGCCCCGATTACTCGGATCGGTGGACTACAGCCTTCCTCGGCTTATTGGCCCTACACACCGTCCTGGCGCGTTCAGGTCCGGTGGGTCATAGCACCGAGGCCCATAGTTGGACTGCAACCCAAGAAGTGAATCACTGACCGCAGCCAGGAGAATGAACCGCAGCTCATAAGTAACCATCAGTGGACCGCAGCCCTATATAATATTTATATACCTGACCGATTGCAACCGGCCTGGTTAACAGCTGGTATGGTTCTCAACCCATCCAACTGCCCGTGTAGCCAACTTGATCGCAACCAAATTAGGGAATCATGCATCACATAACATCTTGGAGCACACAATAGCATATTAGGAAGGGGGAAGTATAAAATAAAGCTTACGTGTGATCATTCACATACTAAGAATCATCCTAAGGGGTTCATACGTCTTCCACCTAGGTCAACGGGTCACCGATTCAACTAGCATGCAAGTCCTAAGGTTTACCTAACCTACGAATGGTACCCGAAACATCAAACTAGACTCAAGCACGATAAACGAGGTCCGTTGGGACGCCACGGGGAATGGGGAACATCAAACGGGGAAGTCGGGGACCCGAGGTGGGTCACAAACCAGCGGGTGGCCGGTGGGTGAGGGGTCACCCGCCGGCTACCCGCCGGAGATCACTGCCCGGTAGCGGGCAGCCGACGGGCGGGCAGCCGACGGGCGGACGCCTGCCCGCTGCCCGGTGGTGATCTTCGGGCAGCAGGTAGGTGGCGGGTACCCCTACCCCCACCTACCCCCCACTGACTCTTTCATCAATCTTTCGTCCCGGGAACCTTTGTGGAACCCGAAATCATAATCAGACACTTTTAAACGCAATTAACGACACCACGTAGTCAAATAACGGATCAAAATCAAGTATCACATACGACTCGTCCTATCACGACTTCTACATACAAACAACACCCGAACATGCGAATTGCCACCCAAATATAAATCAAGAACATCACAATACAAATTCCCAATCCAACCTAGGGCTCTAATCCCTCCCAAATTATCAAGAACATATCTCATCTTTAACATCAAGAAACATCAAATTCGGCAAGAATCATCATATCAAGAACTTCTTTTCAACATAAGATTACCAAGATTATCAAGAAAGCATAAATCATCTCATCAATCACCAAGATCATAACACAATATCATAGAAGAATTCATCAAGACGCGAGAATATAGAGGGAGGCCTAAAAGGGAGATCATAGCTAAGAAAATAGGTTTTGTTGAGACATGGGTTACCTCTTAGCCTTAATTAATTCATTGGCTATGAAGGGTCTTTCTTTAAGCTTTCTTCTTTCTTGATTTCTCCTAAGGGAATTCTTGGAACTTTTTCTGTGGTGAGAGATTATTGTGGTGTGAGATCTAGGTGCCTCCTATGTCCCTATTTATATACCTAAGGATCCTAATTAGGGTCTAAGTGGTATGGGTTTGTTAATTCTAATTCTTATGGGACTAGGGGTTTGGTTTTAGGGCTTAGGGTCCATGATCCATCGTGGACCTCTCTTAATGTATTTTAATTCCCTTTTTGGGGTGAATGACAATCAAATTAATTCTAACTTGAGGGCCATAACACGGGGTGTTACATTGCCCGAGTTCAAAACTCCTTTAGCATTAGAGCGACACTCGGCACAGGTATTCACGCTAACAATTTTCTATGAGCTTCAAAAAGAGATCGAGGCTACATGTTCATACTGTGGGGTAATGGGAATTTGAGATGATGGGGAGGTCATTAATTAGTTACGTCATTAAAGGGGACTCTAGTGTTACACATACTGTTGAATATAACCCGGTCAGTATTAGTGCGTCGTGCAGCTGCAAGTTGTTTGGGTGGTGGTATGAGCATTGATCCAGCAAATGGTAATAGTGTTGCCATTGCGGCTTTCTGCGGTGTGCAACCTCCGGCATCCATAACCATCAAAGCGTCAGGTCAAGCCAAAAACAAAGGAATTGCGAGGCGAATTAAAAGCCAACGGGAGTTAGCCATTCAGAGAAGCATCAAGGCCGGTTGAAAGTTCGGGGTGTGCGGCGAGTACACCCGTCATAACGCTCGTAGTTGTCCTTTGAAGTGATTAATGCATGAGCCGGGTCCCTTCTTAGTTATGGCGGTTTGCAATGAACTTCTATAATTTATATATTTCTGTCTGTTATTTCTTGTCCCTTCATTTAGTTTTAGAGGTTGTTATTAAGATTTCCCAAAGTAGTGCATCAGAGTAGCTTATACATGTGTTATATCTTTTCTTCCAACAGCTGTTGCAATGGCCATGTGTGCGTTCTTTCTGTTGCAAGGGAAGTGTGTCATTTGTCTTTAATGTTTGCTGTAGTTCTCTTCCCATTAATGTGTGGTGCATTATCCTTAACAAGATGTGCTTGTTTGTTTTTTTTTTTTTTTTTTTAAATTGCTTTTAAAAAAATGCATGCGCATTGGAGTAAGTTCCTTGCTTTTTGGCTTGATGGTTCTATTGCTTTGTTAATGTTACTGAATACAGTGAAGTGGCAGTGAGTTCAGGGGTTTGGTAGCAAGGGAGCTCTACATTTCCACCTTTATCTTTATTTATTATTATTATTTTTTTGGTATAATTAATGGGACGCCAGTTTGTGCACCACCAGCTTTATCTTAAATTTTTTTTGGTATAAAACTACCCCTAAGTTATAATGCCCCATGTGTACTGCACACCAGTCCCTCCAATTACCAATCTTTTCCACCCATGTGTACTGAGGTGGATGTGGTGCTCGTTTAAGTAGTTGTGCAGTCCTTTCACGGTCATACTCCCCCGCTCGTGTGTGAATACTTTGCATGCTGGCATTCACCGAGCAAGATGTTGTGCATGAATCGCCTTCTCATGTTTTCATTCACCAAGGGATCCCCCGTCTCAAGACCACATTCCCAGCTGGTGGCCTCCTGGCCAACAAAAGACTCCATGTGTCTCATCGCATACACCCCCCGAGTCACCGTTTGTAGCGGTGTCACTCCATGCCAACCGCATCCTATTTTGTTGCATGTTCCTTAAGCAGAGTGCCCCGACACTGTATTGTTTGCTATCCAGGTACGCGGCCATAAGGTCTATCTGCAATCCAACATTAGGAAATGAGTATAAACAAATAGTGGCGTGCAGTGTGGAGTGTGCGTGGTGCTTACCAATTCCTCGGGTGCTCCCCTATGCATTTCTGTGTTCATGTTCGTCGTCAATGATGAAGAACTTGGAATGCTTAAAACTAATGCACATCACATAGAAGCGTGGCCTATGCAATATGGGGAAGACATACCGCAAGAAACAAGTCAGAGCGGTTATATTAGGGTGCTTTTATGCCGTGCCCCTTAGATTCCCTAATATAAAATTGGGTCATGGCTTACCATGTCTGATGTGGCCGTCCCCAAGTGGTCGGTGATCTGGAATTCAGCATCAAGACGTTGTTTAAACCACGATAACCTCGCATCCCGACTGGCTGAGATACCCACTACCGTCCCAATCTGCAATTCAGGAAGTTATTAGCTAACATTGCAACCATAATGCACCACCCATAAAAGTGAAGAGGAACTGGCCGGTCCTAAAAAATGCATAGCTACAGTACACAGATATGGGTTAACCGCACATAGTACTAGTGAAGGGTAATGCACAAAGACTCATCTAGTATTATATAATTCTCTTCAATGGTTAATGTAACTACACTCAGCAATGCGGGGGTATATCTATCACATGATATGAAGGTAGCATGTTAGTAGTGCAGTGCAGTGCAATGTAGCAATGCAGTGCAAAACTTAATTGTGCATTCTTAACCGTGAACGTGGTTATGTGCAAACTTGTAATGCATCGCAACAAACGATTTCACTTTTGTTTACATGTGTATAGGTTTAATTAGTTTCAGTAATTGCGCACGCATGAGTGTAGTACAATTTGAATACTAAATTAATTGCCTTCAATCATGCTATCATAATTTTCTTATAAAACTAAGTACAGATAACAGATTAGTTCACTTTCCCTGTTTCACATTCCACTTATAATCTTTCCCATTAAAATCCCATTTCAAGGTGGTGGTCCATACTTGCCCTTTTTTCCTCCTTTCCTGTTTTTGATTACTATGGGGACTTTAGCACCTATCACTATTAGTGAAGTTTTTAATCACGTTGTTTGGTATAGAACTCTTTAACAAAGAGAGCACAAACAAAATGTTCTAACCATCACTCCCCACCGCTGTCCAACCAATGGTCATTATAATAAACTGATTTTATCAACACTATGTAACGCCAAAACAAAATGTTAAAATGCAAAAATGTTAACATACGGGCCAACAAAATGCTAACTTAAACAAAACAGCCACCATTGCTTTTATTTTATTACTCAACTTCCTAAACTTACGGCAATGGAGTAATATTCATTTGCCAAGTGCACTGATTTATGACACCTTAGGGACAGGGATGCAATTCAATTTCCAGTTGTAAACAAATATCTAAATGTCTATTTGTAGTCCAGTTCCATTAAATCCATATTATTGGTTTATAATAAAACCATACCACTAAAAATTGCATACAAGTTTTAAGCCTTCATCAATCAACACTAAAATCACTGTTGAGTAAGAATGGAACACAGTAGCCGACCATTTGGAAAACACTAGTTTGAGCTCCTGGTTTTCTCAAAATTAATCAAAGGTGAGAAACTTTTATGACACATTTGCGAACTCAGGCTTGCTAAGAGCCAGTTTAATGATTGATGATGTGTGCTGTAGTTTTCGAAATCTAGCTTATAATGGACGAATATAGCAGCGATGAGGAATAAAACCATAGGTGTGAGTAACACCAGTAGCCAACCATCTGGAATTCCAAACTCCAGCTTTCCCCCCCTATGCGACCTACCCCACCAGACCTAAAACCCCTGTTAAACCCAATCAATCACCGAATGCACGACAAGGAAGCCTCCATGACTACAATAGAAAATAACAATTTCAAAACTGCACTAACCTCGCACACCCCACCGGTGCGCCGCCGACGCCGTGCAGATACCCTGGAAGCAATCACGACCACAGCTCGATCGAAAACGGCCCGATTAGTCGAGGCCGGAGAATGACGGCCGACCCGGCGTCTGAACGACCGAGATACCTCAGCTACTCTGCGCGCAGCACCCGAGGGCGGAGTCGACGACGAGAATGAATGCCCGACCTGCCCCTCCACGAAAGGCGACTACCACCTGACCGAGCCATTGACTACCGCCTCCTTCCGGCGAGAACGAGTTTGACAGTGCTGAGCGGTGGATACCAAAAATCGCAGCTCCTTCCGGCGAGAACGAGAGATGGACTGTGATGAACGGTGGAAATAAAAAACAAAAAACGCGACCCCTAGCCACGCCGAACATATTACCATCGGGAATTACTAAACCGCCCTTACTCAATGCACCACACACGATGACACAAACCGTAGTAAATGTAACGGGGTGCAGCAAGACAGCATACACACTAAATCATGGCCATCGATCAAGTAAAATGCACAGCCACATGTTACCTGAACTTTTTCATAACAACAACAACAACAATAATAATAATAATAATAATAATAATAATAATAATAATAATAATAATAATAATAATAATAATAATAATAATAATAATAATCTTAACTATAATAAAATTATATGGTTTGAAAAGTAATTAATGTTATTGATGGTTTTTGGGTTTTCGGGCCCAAGGAGGTCCAACACAACCTAAAGCTGGAGGAAACACCTTTCACAAAAAGCCTTGATTTTAGTGAAAATAGGTTGCTCAATAATACTCTCTATTCCCTCTCCGGGTTCCTGAATCTGTCCTTTACAAGTGGTGGAGGAGCCCTTTTATAGTGGCCCCTCCTTGACTGACTTAAAGGCCCATGATGGCCGACTTAAAGGCTATAATCAGTATGCCGAGCCGTTGGGCGACGTTACAAGCTCGGCCAACGGCTCTCTCTAGCTAGTAACTGGCGGGCCGCGTCTAGCTCTTTAATGCTTCAACGGCTCCTTGCCTTGACTGCTTCAACGGCTCCTTGCCTTGACTGCTTCAACGGCTCTCTGAGCCGAGTCTCCCCCTGGGCTGGGCCTAGACCGACCCCTTGTCTTTGGGTGGCGCTCGGATTGGGCTGTCCTTTGCAGCTCAAGACTGGGCCTTCTTCTTTGGGCCTGGGCCGAGTCCTGGACTCGGCCCAGGCATTCTTTGAGCCGGCTTTTGTCAGCCCATCTTTTCCTCTTTGATCTTTTCTCTCTGGGCCCCCATTTCTTGGGCCGGGGTTCTCACCCCATCAACTAGTCCCTCACTTTTCCATACCCGGCCCACCAGCCTGGGTTTGGAAAAGTAGTAACCGTCTCCTGCCCACCGAATCCATGCCTTGAATGACTCAAGATTGACCCGGATTGTGCGCCATCTCCCGGATCTCACGGGACCGTTTTGATCTCGTCGACTTGTCCGGGCACCTATAAATGGCCTTGGTCGCTCTTCAACCAATTCATCAACTCTTCATGGGTCGCTCACCGTTGAGAGGGAAGCGCATCGATTTTGGGTCGCCCTGGCGTCCCTTGCCTACAAAAAGGACTCGGCCCGAGAGGGAGCCCAAAAAGAAGGCTCCTCGTCCGACCCTGCAAAGATCTCCGGCTGGCGCTGCCTCCGTTGTGCATCCTCCGACTCCTGTCCGACACGAAGTCGTTCCGACTTCTCGCCCTTCTCCCCCTCCGGGGACTGCTCGAGTAACTTCTCCTGGTGGGACCGTTGTCAATGTACCTATCCCGGACCAGCTCTCTTTCCGCATGACTTTCTCTATTCCTCTGGACGACCTGGGTGGTCCGATCACAGGGCTGATGAACGAAGAGGACTTCGCCCGCTATCAGGAAATGTACCCGGACGACGATGAGCTGGTCGTGCCACCACTCATGCCGGCCTTTTGGGACTCGGTTTGCCCGTCCCCTCCTGGACCATCGGGAGGGTTTTCTGGGAGTGACTTCTCTTCGCCGGGTGAATGATCTTGAGGTCGGCTGGGTATTTAGGAGGGGTAGTTTTAGGAGCATTTGCTTTATCCTGTAATAAGCTCCTTGTAACCTGCACCTCTTTTATAAATAATAAATAAATAAGCTCCCTCGGGGCCTTGTCTCTTTTCCCACTTTTGTATGATTCCAGTACTTGTCCGTCTTAGGGGTCGAGGAGTCGGCCATGATGCCGAGTCCTCCCTTCATTCGACACCTGTAACATTTTATTTCCTAGGCGAGCCAGGCTTTTTCAGCTTGGCGTGCGAATCTCACTTTTCCCGAGCTAATTGGATGGGATTAATCTCTGACAGAGATTCGCGCTACCCATCTAATCCGGCTCAGTTATGTCAGTTACGATTCCCTCCGTGATTTGTGCCTCGGTTGTTGCTCTCTCGAGGCCCTATATAAGGGCTCCTAGTAGCTCCGTTTTTCCTCACCATTTCTCACTTCACACTTCAAGCCATGAGTTTCAGGGACGGTGATCGTCGTTGGTCCATCCGTAAGAATGAACATGAGCGCCTGGAGGAGCTCCGGCGAAGGAGGGAGGCCAACGGAGGGCACCTGACGGGCGACTCCACTTCCGACCCAATTGTGGTGCCTCCGGACATGCTCGACTTAATGATCGTGGAGCCGGAAGAAGGCGAGATGGAGCCCATGGTGGACGACCCGGAGCCAGAGGGGGATCTAGACTTGGAGGCTCCTCCTCTCTTTGGCGTGGCCATGTCACCGAGTGCCCTGGCGAGGCCCCTGCAGATGGTCTTTGATGGGAAGCCTGCTGTGTACCTGGACGAACTGCCCGAGCCCGAGCCCGAGCCGAATCCGTTGCCTTTCCGCCCCCACTACTACTTGGAGGGCCTGCAGCCGGTGCGCCCCGCGGAGGAGGAGGAAGATAAGCCCTAGGCCCCTCTTGTCTGTGTAATGTTTGTGGCCGAGTTCTTGGCCTGCCTTGTACCCCTGTTTCCATGAAATAAAATCACGTCTTTTCCTTTTGGTTCTCTGTTTTATGTGTTTCTTTAGCCGACTCCTGGTTGCCATGACCGACTTGTGGGCTCCGCCCGACTTGGGTAAGGGGCTCGGCCAATCCGTTTGGCCGACCCTATGACCTGAGGCTCATCCGAGTATCTCTCGCTCGGCCGGACCCGGCTAGGTGCCTTCTGGACACTTCTAGCATGGTTCTTGGTGGGCCCTCAAAGCCTTGTTCTTTGATGGGTCTTTGACCCGGCGGGCCGGGTTACCGTCACTTCAGCCTCGACCTAGGGTAGACGCGCCGCTTGCAGGCTAACCCTAGGTCTGAACCGTCGCCCCGCCTATCGAGGCATTAATTGCGGCGTCACTTCGGTGTCCCGTCGCCTCCAATTCCTCTATTGGGGAGGCGCCGCGTGGCAGCCACTTGAGCTTCCTCCTCTTCTTTAAAAAGCTTTTCCCTTCTCCCTTCTTCTTCAGCTCTCCAAGTCTCTCTGCATCTTCCAACCTCAAACGAAAATCTGTAAGTGATGTCTTCTTCTTCTCATTCTTCCTCTTCCCGCCGTTTGTCCTTTGACAACCCGGCGGGGACCTCGCCATCGTCTTCTTCTTCTTCTTCTGCCGTTGTTCGCCGTCTGGAAATGCCGGCGGGCTTCCAGGCGGTTTCTTCTTCCTCATTCTTAACCCCCTCTTCTTCCGGGGCGGCCACTCCGATGAGCCCAGCCCCGTTATCCACGGTGGCGGCTTTGCCGGACGGTGCTGAACGGCCGCGAGGCAAGTTCGACTCGGTCGTCCGGCCGGCCCATCTTCCGTCAACCGCCACAACAGCGGATCTGGATATGGCTCGCTTCCTTCTTGGCCCTTCGGCCTTGGTCGTCGCAGCGGAGGGCCGGCCCATTTACGACCCGCCGGAGGGTTTCTTGGGTATTCATTTGCACTCGGTTGCATTCGGCTTCCGAGTGCCCCCACACCCATTTCTTTCTCTCCTCTTCCGGCACTATAACTTGGTCCCTGGCCAGTTAGTGCCCAATTCTCACCGACTTCTTACCAGCTTCATCAGTCTCTGCCATTGGTGGCAGTGCGAGCCGAATTTGGACCTGTTCCGGTACCTCTTCACCGTGAACAAGGTTGGCTCCCACTCGCCTGGCTTTATCCAGGTTGCTGCTCGTCCGAAGCGGCAGCTTTTTGAGGGGTTGTCCGACTCCATTAAAGAGTGGAAGCCCCTGTATTTCTTCGTCCGACCTCTCTCTTCTTCCTTCACCTTCCCGACCCTGTGGCCGGCGACTCTCTTCAAGCCCTGCTCTCGGCGGGCCGTTTTTACGGAAGATGCTGTCCAAGGCGGCGACTTCTTGAAGAGCCTGGGGCCGTACTCGGTTAAGTACTGGTCTCGGGTCCGGGCCATGGCCAAGCATGGCCTCCTGCCGGAGGGAGCCGCCACCATAGGTAGCGTCTTTTTTAATTTTCTTCTCGACTCGCTTCTTATCCCGTGCGGAAATACTTACAAGTGCATGGGTTCTCCTTGCATGTCCATACGACTCCGATTCGTCTAGCTCAGACGAGGCCGCCGCACCGACTCCGGACATGACTGATAGGGTGGAGAAAATGAGGCGTCGCCTGACGCAACGCTCTACCGGCGCTGCCGCCGCGTCTTCGTCGCAGCCCTTGCCGTCGCCTCGGCCGACTCCTCCCCCTCACAATGTGGTCGACCTCACGCCCTCGCCTGTGGTGTCGCCAAGTCGACTGCCGCCACCTCCTCCTTCCGAGAGTCCACGCTCCAAGCGGCCTGCAGAGCATACGGAGGGGCCAACCCCGAAAAGGATTAGGCTGTGCCACGAGGTGGATGAAGGCGCTCAGATCTGGATGGGCAACTCGTCCATCCGCGGGTGGTGTAAGGACGTCCTTCTGCCAAAGGATGTGGAGTCAACTAAGGGCCTCGCCGACGGGTTTATCATCGAGGCCTTGCTCCGGCAGTCGTATCGCGTAAGTGCTGTTTACTCGGCCTTTTCTTTCCTTTACTCTCCCCTTTTTCTTCGACTGATAGTTTAATATGCAGGACCTTACGCTCCAAATGGAACTGGGCAATCGGTTCCTGGGCTTCAGGAACGACATGCGGGCTTTGACCGATAAGCTGCACCAGACGGAGGAGGCTCTCCGGGAAGAGCAGGCGAAGCAGCTTAGGATGGTGGAGGTGCACAACGCCGAGCTACTGAGGGTGACCCGCCAGTGGGAGGATGAGAGGGATAAGGCGGCCACGATCGCCGTGACCTCCGTCGAAGACTACAAGAAGTCGGCGGCCTTTGAGGCGGACGTGCAGGCGGCGGTGGAAGCCCGGAGCAAGGAGGTGGCCAAGGCATGGTTGGCGACTCCGGAAGGTGACGACTTCCTCCTGGACTTGGGCGAGCGGGACTACCGTCTGGGCTTCCGCGAGGCGCAGACAGAGATCTATACCACTCTGCTGGCCCGCGACTCCTCGTTCACTCCCGAGGGCTGGGGTCTCAAGCCTGTGCTGGATGCTGAAGGGCCAGCTGCACTCACCGCCCCGGCGACTCTTCCTGTGGCGACGCCTCCAGCTCTAACCGAGTCCTCTCCTCAGGCGGAGGACCCTTCTTCTGTTCCCCCAACTGGACAATCGGTAGGGGCGCAAGTTGAAGGGGTCGCCGTCGACACCCCCTCCCCCATAGCCTAGGGTCTCCTTAGAATAGACCCTCTTTTGTAAGGGCTGGCCTCCTTATCGGCCTTATTTTAATGAAAGTGTTTTCCTTCTTCTTTTCTTGCAATCGTGTCTCGGAGCTCTTCTTTTCATATTTCGCTTTCTTCTAATGCTTCGAGCCCGGCTAGCCTTTATTCTTTCTCGCCGAGTCCCTCAGACGAGGCGACTCTTCACGCGGTTACTTTCTTGAAAACGACTAAGGGCTTGGACCCTTGTCCCCTGGCTTCTTCTCGCCGAGTCCCTCAATCGAGGCGACTTCTTCCTATTTTCTCTTGGAAACGACTAAGGGTTTGGACCCTTGTTTCCCAGCTTTCTCTCGCCGAGTCCCTCAGTCGAGGCGACCCTTTTAGGCCTTTCCTGTTCTCAGAAACGGTTCAGGGCCGGTGCCCCGGCGTTTCTATATATACTGGCCGAGTCCCTCATTCGAGGCGACTCCTTTTGGCTTTTTCGCGGAAACGTCTAAGGGTCTGGGCCCTTGTTTCCTAACTTTCTCTCGCCGAGTCCCTCAGTCGAGGCGACCCTTTAGGCTTTTTCTGTTCTCAGAAACGGTTCAGGGTCGGTGCCCCGGCGTTTCTATATATACTGGCCGAGTCCCTCAGTCGAGGCGACTCCTTTTGGCTTTTTCACGGAAACGTCTAAGGGTCTGGGCCCTTGTTTCCTAACTTTCTCTCGCCGAGTCCCTCAGTCGAGGCGACCCTTTAGGCTTTTTCTGTTCTCCGAAACGGTTCAGGGTCGGTGCCCCGGCGTTTCTATATATACTGGCCGAGTCCCTCAGTCGAGGCGACTCCTTTTGGCTTTTTCGCGGAAACGTCTAAGGGTCTGGGCCCTTGTTTCCTAACTTTCTCTCGCCGAGTCCCTCAGTCGAGGCGACCCTTTAGGCTTTTTCTGTTCTCAGAAACGGTTCAGGGTCGGTGCCCCGGCGTTTCTATATATACTGGCCGAGTCCCTCAGTCGAGGCGACTCCTTTTGGCTTTTTCGCGGAAACGTCTAAGGGTCTGGGCCCTTGTTTCCTAACTTTCTCTCGCCGAGTCCCTCAGTCGAGGCGACCCTTTAGGCTTTTTCTGTTCTCAGAAACGGTTCAGGGTCGGTGCCCCGGCGTTTCTATATATACTGGCCGAGTCCCTCAGTCGAGGCGACTCCTTTTGGCTTTTTCGCGGAAACGTCTAAGGGTCTGGGCCCTTGTTTCCTAACTTTCTCTCGCCGAGTCCCTCAGTCGAGGCGACCCTTTAGGCTTATTCTGTTCTCATAAACGGTTCAGGGTCGGTGCCCCGGCGTTTCTATATATACTGGCCGAGTCCCTGGGACGATTGGCTGTAACCCATGCACTTTATTTAGATTTCTTGGAATCCTCGGGCTCATACATGATCTATCATTGGCTACTGATAGAACCTTTTCAAATGAGTAGCATTCCATATGCGATCTATGAGCCTCCCTTCCATAGTCTCCAATTTGTAAGTTCCGTCCTGGACTATAGCTGCAATGCGGTACGGCCCTTCCCACTTGACCGCGAGCTTGCCTCCCTCGGTGGGCTGGCTGGCTTGTCGATCTCGTAATACTAGATCGCCAACCTGGAAGGTTCTCGGGCGAGTTCGGCGATCGCGATACCTCTTCACCGCCTGCTGGTACTCAACCATTCGGGCACCTGCGGCTTCCCTTCTTTCTTCTAGGAAATTTTTCTCAATCTGCAGGCTCTCTTCATTTGCCGCGTCCGAATAGGTGCGAACTCGGTAGGTGGGCTCGACCACTTCGACTGGGACCTTGGCCTCGAAGCCGTAAGCGAGCGAGAACGGACTCTCTCCCGTCGCTCGCCGTTGGGTAGTGCGATAGGCCCATAGGACTCGGTCAAGTTCGTCCGCCCAGTTTCCTTGGATATCTTCGAGCTTCTTCCGGATTCCGTCGACCAATGTTCGATTTACATTTTTGACCTGCCCATTTGCTTGGGGGTAGGCTACCGACACCTTGGTATGCTTGATACCGTGTCGGCGACAGAAATCGGCGAATGCCTGGCAGTCAAACTGTCGCCCATTATCGCTGACGATGTGTTCGGGCAGACCGATGCGACAGATCACCCTTTTCCACAGGAAGCGGCGACACTGGTACTCGGTGATGGTAGCTAGAGGTTCTGCCTCGACCCATTTGGTGAAGTAGTCGATGACTACGACGCAAAACTTCAATCCTCCCGGGGCAACGGGTAATGGTCCCAGCAGGTCTACTCCCCACTTGGCGAAAGGAATAGCAGTGGTGACCGGTGTGTAGAAGGTGGCTGGCCGGGTGTCTTTCCTGGCGAATGCCTGGCAAACTCTGCATTTAGACATTCGTTCAATACAATCTCGCATCATGGTCGGCCAATAATACCCTTGCACGACCAACTTTCGGGCGAGCGTGTGAGCCCCCTGATGCGCGGCACAAATGCCTCTGTGCGCTTCATCCATCACCTTCTCGGCCTCGGGCTTAAGCAAGCATTTCAGCAAGGGCCCTCCAAACGACTGTTTGTACAGATGTCCGTCGATGATTCGGAAGGAGGGTGCTTTTCGTCGAACCCTCGCAGCGACGGCTGGGTCAGTTGGCAACTTGCCCGTTTCCTTAAACCGCCGGATATCTTCGATCCAAAACATCTCGGGGTTTTTCTCTCGGTCCCACTCTTCGACGTTCACTTGCTGGATCGCCAGCGGTGCCTCTTCGATACTTGGCCTACTCAGTTCCTCCTTCTGACAAATCTTTATTAAGTGATCCGGCACCCCCTCCAGGGCGATTTTGGACAAGATGTCAGCCTCTACATTGTCCGCCCGGGATATGTATTCTATCTCGTAGGCTTCAAGCCCTCTCAACATCTTGGTGGCACATTCTTTATATAACGCCATTCTCGCGTTCTTAGCTTCGCATGTCCCCGAGATCTGCCCGACCACTAGCCGGGAGTCGGTTTTGATTCGCAGCCGCTCGACCCCTAGATCTTTGGCGAGACGGAGGCCGTTCAATACTGCTTCGTATTCGGCCTCGTTATTTGATGCGGAGAATTGATACCTCAGGGCGTAATATAGCCGAAATCCCTCCGGAGAGATAAGCATGACACCGCCTCCGCAGTGCTGTCGACTTGATGCTCCGTCTGCGTGCATCTCCCACCACTCGCCCGGATGGCTTTCCGAGGCGCGTTCCTTCTCCTCTTCGCCCGCGGTACACTCGACCAGAAAGTCGGCCAAAGCCTGACCTTTGATGGAGGGCCTGGGTTGGTACTCGATCCCGTACTTGGTCAGCTCGACGGCCCATTTTACCAATCGGCCGGAGGACAGGGGGTTCCGCAGCACGCTCCCGAGTGGTTGATCCGTCAGGACACGAACGGTATGTATGGGCTTGGAAGTACGGTGCTAACTTACGCACGGTGACAACCAAGGCATACACGATCTTCTCCAAGGTGGTGTACCGTGTCTCGGCAGCTTTCAGCGAGCGACTTACATAGTAAACCGGGTGCTGGACTCGGTCCTCTTCTCGGACTAGCACAGAACTTACTGCCTTGGCCGAGGCGGCCAGGTACAAGAGTAAGGGCTCGCCCTCCTGGGGGGTGGATAGTACTGGGGGAGTCGACAGATATTGCTTTAATTCTTCGAACGACTGCTGGCATTCGGCAGTCCAGGCGAATCCCTCCTTCTTCTTCATGGCTTCGAAGAAGGGTACGGTCTTGTCCGCTGATTTGCTAAGGAAACGGCTAAGAGCCGCCAATCGTCCCGTCAAGCGTTGCAAGTCCTTGACGGTAGTAGGAGGCTGCATGTCAAGGATAGCTTGTACCTTTTCCGGGTTAGGCTCGATGCCTCGCTTGGTGACCATGTAACCCAAGAACTTACCACCTTGGACGGCGAATGCGCACTTCTTGGGGTTTAGCCGGAGGTTGTATTTTATCATTACCTTAAAGCAGTCGGCTAGGTCTTCCGCATGCTTGTCCTCCTCTCGACTCTTGACGAGCATGTCGTCAACATACGCAGCCATCGACTTTCCCAATAGGTGGTGGAACAGTCGAGCAACCATTCGAGTGTACGTGGCTCCAGCATTTTTCAGTCCGAATGGCATGACTCGATAGCAGTAAACTCGGTCCGGAGTCAAGAAAGCGGTCTTTTCTTCATCCGCCGAATGCATGAATATTTGATGATATCCTCGGAAGGCATCCATGAAACTGAGAAGCGCTGACCCAGCCGTTTCGTCGACTAGCTGGTCGATTCGAGGCAGAGGAAACGGGTCTTTAGGGCAGGCTTTGTTAAGATCAGTGTAATCGACACACATCCGCCACGCCGGGGGCTTGGGTACAAGGACCACGTTGGCCAACCATTCCGGGTACTTGACCTCTCGGACGTGTCCGGCCGCTAACAATGTGCTTACCTCTCTCTTTACGAACTCCCTCCGGTCGTTCGCCAAATACCGTTTCTTCTGTATGACCGGCCGATGCTCAGGGTCCACGGCGAGCCGGTGTGATATGATTGATCGATCCACGCCGGGCATGTCTTCGGGGCCCCAGGCGAAAACCAATCAGTGCTCCTGGAGCACTCTCACGATTTCTCCTTTCAATTTCTCCGGAAGGCCGACTCCAATTCTTACCCGCCTGCTTGGCTGTGCCGGGTCAATCTCGACCTCCTCTAACTCGACGGGCGGCTCTGGGCGGGGTATCGCAGCTCTCTTAGGGGGCCTCTCAGTGATCTCATGGACCTGCATCCCCCGCTTGCCCATTCCTCTACAGGCTTGCAGATAGCAGTCGCGGGCGACCTTACGGTCACAACGCACTGTTCCTATTCCGTTTGGCGTTCGGAACTTTAGGCATAGATGTTCGATGGAGATTAAAGCTCCGAGGTCTTCCAGACCCAGGCGGCCGAGTATGGCATTGTGCGAGCAGGCTAGATCGACCACGATGAACTTCATGCTCAACTTCTGGACATCGGGATAACTGCCGATCTCCACAGGAAGAGTGATGGACCCTTCCGCTTCCACTGAGTCGCCAGTGAAGCCGGCGAGAGGGGTGTTCACGGGTCTGAGCTGTTCTCGGGTCAGCCCCATCTTAGTAAAGGTTTCCA